GGAAGCAGAAGGCGGGTAGAACAGGGAGCGCAAAAGAAATGTTCCGCAAGAGGCAGCGCCAGACGACGCCATAACACGCCAAGCTAAACAAACCAACGAGAGGAAGGGGGAGGGAGAGAGGGATAAGGCAAGATACGCCGGAGAAGAATGAACACTTACAAAATTCCGAGCGAGAGCACGAGTGGAACTGAATGCGGCAGAGAGAAAAGTCCAGGTTGTTGTAGAGGTTGGATGCTAGACATATGACAGTCCCTTCAGTAGTTGGCCATTTGATTGTCCAGATGATCTATCTATATAGGAGAGAGAAATGATCTCCGCGGTGAGACAAGGAGAACAAGTCAAGAGGTCACGGGAAGGCGGAGAAGGCGTTGGAGAAACGTGGCAACGGAAGAAGAGGAGACGAGACCGGTGGTGAAGGCCAAGTAAGCTATGGAATTAGGGAGAGGGATGTCGGGGGAGAAGTAGGGGGAATCCTTTTTGAACATGTTCTCACCGAAAAGTATGGGCACTCGTACACGTGAAGATACGTAATCGGCGGAGAGAATTTTGGCCCACTGGGAAATCGCCGGCCTTTCTTCCCACTCGACGGCTGAACATAGCCTCGCAGGTCTTCCGATAACCCGAAATTATCAAGACCCACATCCGACGGCTTCATCGTATCTGCGCACACACATCGGAAAAAAAACACAAAATTAGAAAATAGTTCTCTCTCTCTCTCTCTCTCTCTCCCCTCCTCCTTTAACATGGCCAGCTGCCGAGGCTCTTTCCGCAGCGAAAACGAAAACAAAAAGCGAGGCAAAACCACGTCCTGGATCGGATCCAGGTCACAAAAATTGTGAATACCTCGGTTTATGTTTGTCATCCTCACATCCGTCCAACAGCTGCATGCGTCAATGGTGTAGACCAAAACACGTAGGAGAACGCAGGCCTGTATGTTACCGACGAGTTTCTTCCATTCATGTGATCAGGGTACACATGACAACCTCTCTCTCTCTCTCTCTCTAAATATAGATGCATATACGTACTACGTATACATATAGCTACGGGGCTACAATCCGTACGCATACATATAGATATTGTCACAAGAATATCAGAGCGCAAAAGCGAAAAAAAAGAAAAAGAAAAAAAACAAAGAAAAAATGTATTCGTTTTTTTCTTTCTTACAACTCCCCCTGTTCAGCACCTCTTGCGTACAAGGCCGCCCACGTGGATGTAGGTTGAGAGGCGGCTGCCCCCACCCCCGTGTGTCATATCGACCCACTTGCACACAACCAAAAGGGAGAGAGGCAAAGAAAGAGGAATGGAACAGCCAAATATAACAAAACAGGGGGAAACAAACATAAACACATCCTAGATCACAAGTCCCACATGCAAGCACCGCCCCATCCGTCACAGGCCAAACAACGGGACAAGACCAACCAGGATATCAAAACACCCTTGCCTGCAAACAAGCAATCCCAGATAACAAACCTTTCGTACTCACCAGCGACTCTGCGTCAAACCCAAGAATCCTTTGCAATTGTTATTTGTTGCAAACACTGGTATCGTTTCAAGCTTTCTGCTTCTTCGCTGTTCTAAACTAAAATACTGGGACGCCACCAACGGCAGAAAAAAACAAAAAAGACAATCCCAGATGACGATTCCCACAAAAAAGCACCGCCCCATCCGCACCAAGGCCGAAGAACGGGAAACAGCCAACTAGGATGCCACAAGGATTAACAAACCCCGGATGACAGGTCCCGCATGAAATCACCGCCACGGACACCCTACCGTAAGCCGAACAACGGGACGAAAACCAACCGGGATGCAGACAAAGGTGCCAAAATCTACCATAACCATAATAAAAAGACGGATCCATACAAAGCAAAGATCCCAGATGACGATTCCCACATGAAAGCACCGCCCCCAAATACACAGGCCGAACAACGGGAATCAACTAACCAGGATGCCAAAATAAAACCCGGATGACAAGTCCCACATGAAAGCACCGCTACGCATCCCAAAATAGACCGAACAACGGGATAAAACCAACCGGGACGCAGACAAAGTTACCAGAACAAATTCTACCATATCCATAGTTAAAAAAACGGAACCATACAGTAGGTCCGCAAAACGAAATACCCCAATCATGGGGAAGAGTAAAGCAAAAAAGAGAGAATCGAAAATATTTTCTACCATAACCAAAGAAGAGACTGCTAGTACAGGCCCGACGCTCGCCGCATCATCTGCAAAAGCAGAGAGCTAGCAACGTGGGAGTATATATTGTCACAAGAACATCAGAGCGCAAAAACACAAAAAAAGAAAAAGAAAAAAAACAACGAAAAAATAAATTCGTTTTTTCCTTCTTTACAACTCCCCCTATTCAAAACCTCTTGCGTACAAGGCCGTCCACGTGGATGTAGGTTGAGCGGCGGCTGTCCCCACCCCCGTGTGTCATATCGACCCACTTGCACACAGACAAAAGGCAAAGAGGCAAAGAAAAGAGGAAGGGAACAGCCAAATATAACAAAACAGGGGGAAACAAACATCAACACATCCTAGATGACAAGTCCCACATGCAAGCACGGCCCAGGATATCAAAACACCCTTGCCTGCAAACAAGCAATCCCAGATAACAAACCTTTCGTACTCACCAGCGACTCTGCGTCAACTTCAAGAATCCTTTGCGATTATCGTCACAAACAGAACTGCCCGGTAAACCGTAGGCAGAGAGAGAGAAGAGGACAACAAACGAGGGGCTGTGACAAACTGTTTCGTCGGAGTTTCACCGACTCATCAGGAGGCTGAACCCTCAACAGTCTGCAGAA